CCCGCCCCCTCCTACCCCCCTCTTCCTCGACGACGCGTGAGGGCAAAAGGCAAGACTAGCACATAACACTATATAGACCTGTCCTTCACTGCTTCGCGCTAATGCACGTGCACTCTCCGATGCGCGTGCTAGGGGTTTCGAATTAAAAGTGAGCGCCTGAGGAATGTGCTGCCAGTAGGCGAGTCCGTGATTGTGTGTTCTTTTCCAAAGTTGACAAGTTGGTGTTCAGAAAGACGCAGAAAGTGTAAGAGACCAAACGTTATAGAGGGAAAAATTTAGCAGGAGTTTCTGAAAAGCAAATTATACGAAAAAGAAACGGTAATCTAAAACAACGTGCAGAAGACTATACCCTGTTCGCGTCGAGCATAGTTTACTATTGTTAGTGGGTTTGTTTTGTTTGTTTGTTCGGGGTTTTTCTTCTTTTTTTTTTTTTTTTGGTATTTGTTGAAGGAAAGTGCTTTAGTGTTGGTCTGCTAAAAATTTACATTGTGCTTGAAAGTAATAGAGAGAAAAAAAAATATTTTCAAAAACAAAAGGATACTCAAGGAAAGATTGTGTGCGTTAGAAAGTGAACTCGGTAAGGTTTTGTTTTGTTTGTTTGTGTGTTTGTCTGTCTGTTTGTGTGTGTGTTTGTTTGTTCGTTTGTTTGTTTATTTGTTTGTTTGTTTGTTTTACTGTTATTTTTTAACACAAATTGTGTGCATTATCTTTCCTCTTCTTGGTCCTCTGTGTTTGCTCTTCTTTCTTTTTAAAATCTTTTGTTATTTGTATGGTTGCATATATCATAAGTTCTTCTTTTGTCTTTTATTTCATTGTGTTATTTGTATCAGTCAGAAATACATTTTATTGGAAGAGGGGGGGGGGGGGTATGTAGGTGTTTAAAAAGGTAAAAGAGTCTTAGATTTCTAAAAATAATTTTGTCGTATTGTTCATTTGTGTAGGTGACTTTTTTGTAATTTTCAGATTTCACGAGCTTTCTTGTTGTATTCTTATTTTCATTTTAAGTCAAACTTAACCACCATAAAATTTGTTGAATAGTAGTGCATGTTTCTTTTTTACTTATATGTGCACTTGTCAATCTTCTTGTATGATTGTATTAAAATATGTGCATTTGCAACATATCTAAATTGTGTGATTTTCTCTCTTTTCTCCCAGGTGTGAAAGTGGGATATCTCTAAAGTTTGTTGAAGTGCAATCAGGTAAGTTTCTGTCTTTCCTTACATATTAAATATACAGAATTTATAGTTTCAGTCCTTCTCTAGACATTTGATGGATACATATCTCTAGGTGATCGTCTCCATCCCCACCCCTCTCTCTCTCTCTCTCTGTCTCTGTCTCTGTCTCTCTCTCTCTCTCTCTCTCTCTCTCTCTCTCTCTGTCTCCCTCTCTCTTTCTCTCTCCCTCGCTCTCTCTCTATCACTCTTTCCCTCTGTGTGTGTGTGTCTCTCTCT